TAATTCAGAGAGGGAATTCCTCCAGGGTGTGCCAGAAACCCAGACTTTGAGGCAGTTCAGTGAAAGATGCTGCTATTTCCGTGCTGTTGCCAGGATATTCAGTGGAGCTCAGGTTCATCCCAGGTCAGAAAATGAACTCCTCCCCAAGGATCCAAACCTTGGTCTGCACCAAAGGGAAGCAGGGAGAGCGCAGGGAAGTCCAGGTTAGATACTTCTGGGAGAGATGGTTCCCTGCCGCTCAAGGCTAAGTTACCATGACAAAAGTCGTATTTCAGTGACCCCATTCCCAGGTTTAGCACATCCATAGTCCTTTCTACCACCTGCATTACTCCTCATGCAGGGTAAAACATAAGCAGAGAGAATCACCTTAACCAAGGCACTCATTAGGCTCTCAGAGAAGTTAATTGCTTTGCCCTGGGTTGCAGAGGACTTGCATAGGAGTCATGGGTATATCTCCATGAAGGATGCTCCCAGGCACATAACCCCAGGATCACCTGCCACCAACATCTTAGGGTTTTCACCTGCAGAGGCCCCACAGCTCCTGAGCTGTCCCAGCATTTCTTCCCAGCCCTCCCCAGCTCCTGGAGAGATGGCAGCAGAAGGCTGAACAGGAGCCTATGGTGGAGAAGGACACGGCTAACGACTGCCTCTGGCAGTCACTGACACTGCAAAAGTGCTGGAGGAAGCCACGGGCCCACGCCCCAGGGCAAGGTCAGGAGGGAGACCTGGGGAGGGGTGACAGGCACTGGACACTGGTGTCAGAGCTGAGACCTGGGTGGGATTCTGGGACATCTTCTCCTTTCCCCAGCAGCACACACAGAGGAGCAAGGGCTGCTGTTTCACAGATCCCTCTCAGTGCTGATGCTGCAGCCAAGAGCCAATGCCCTCCTCCAGTCCCTTGCCCCCAGAGCCCATTCAGGTGGGAGCAGGGATGCTGCTTACAGCACAGCAGCTACACCCACTACATCAAACACCTCTCCCAAAAATGTGCCACAGAGCTACCAGCATCAGTGGCAGCGACCCAGAGCCACCTGGGGCTTGTCCCTTCCCTGCAGAGCCAAGGAGGGACGGGGTGGTGAGTGCTGACACAGCTGCCAGAACAGCCCCAGCACCCGGGGGCATCTCCCAGACAAGCGGCAGTGCCACCCCATGCACACTCCTGCCCTCTCCCCACCACTGCAGCCAGTTAAACCCAGATGGTACTGGGGAATATGCTGGGAAGCATTGATTGAGCTGCCAGCCCAACACACACCCAGGGGACCCCTTTGTCTCATTCAGCAAGAGTAAAAAAAATAAGATTTAAAAAAAAAAAAAAAAAAAAAAAAAAAAAAAAAAAAAAAAAAAAAAAAAAAAAAAAAAAAAAAAAAAAAAGCCAGCTTCATTTGTAATCTGGGACGCAGAGCGTGCACATAACCAGACAGAGGCTGCCAAGTCATAAAAAGCCACTGAGATCTGTTAGCAACGCTCTGTGCGGTCTTCAGCTTGTTCTGTTCTCTCCCTGCTTCCCATAAAACGGCACCAAGGCAGAGCTGCAGTAACAACACACTCCAACGCAAACGGCTCCCCACGGTCTGTGCTGCAGGTGTGGATCCCAGGGAGCTCTCCTGCCCTGCAGCTCCGTGAACCAGATCGCACCCTTCAAGGGAGACCTCACAGACTCACAGCAGCAGAGGCATTAACTCCCAAGATGCTACAAGACAGGAGATCACTTCTAATTACCTTATTCTTTAGGATCACTGTCCTATGCTGTGGGCAGAGTGCATCGCTTCTCTGGGACGCCGAAACCTGCCACTCATCACTCAGGTACTCCAGTGCTGAATTACAGCATCTCACCTTCACACTGCACCACCATCCTGCTGCTTTCCCTCCAGTCTCCTCTACTCACATGCTCCCTGCCCAGCATCTGGGAATCAGGCTTTTCCACGCATCCTTGTTGCAGGTATCATTCCAAAACGAGAGCGCAGCTTGCATTCCCCAAATATCACCAGCTAAGCTTAACAAATTTCCCATGCACATGTGGCTTGTGGCCATGCAAAGCAGATTTGGGTCCTGTCTGCTTCCACTTCAGCTTGAAGCTTCTCTGGGATGTCCCCAGCGTGGCTCTGCCTGTCCTTACCATCAGCTAAGGAAGCAGCTGCTCAGCCCAGAGAAGCCACAGGAGGTTCCCCGTTTGCTTGTTTTGATGAGGAGCTCCTCTTTCGAGCTGTTTCTAAGCTAAACGTTACCCAGACGATGCTGCCAGACACACAGAGCAAAGGCATCAGCAATTCAGCCACGACCACTCCATGCAGCAGCCCACCCAGCCTTGGACCACAGCAGATCTCTCCACATACCTCCATCCCAGCACCAAAACAGAGGGATGGAGGGCAGGGCATCAGGCTGGGACTATGGAAAATGGGGTTTAGCGTTTGCCTTAGGCTTAAATCCCTCACACAAGAACAAGGTGGACTGGTACGTGCACCTTTGACCACACCGCAGACCACCCAGCCAGAGCTGACAAACAGGAGTACAGGGAGACCTCCTGCTGCATATATCCAGCCATTTTCGACATTCCTCATGTTCTGCTTCATGTCCACTGCCATGTTGGAGCTACGGGAAAACACCCCCCCACCACCACCACCACTCACCAGAGCCAGACCGCCCAGGCGAGAGGTGATTGAAGGCATGTGAGATGGGCCCTTCTGAAAATTAAATCACAAGGAAATTGCATTATTACTAATAAAATTACACATAAGGAAATTAATTGGCTTTTTCTCCCCCACATGCTATCCATCTATTCCCAGAGAGCATCCGTGGTGCTAGGGTTACTAGCTCTGCACACCAGTCTGGGCTTTGGCAAAGCTTTTGGGGAAAACATCACTGGTTTATCCTAGAAAGAGTGGTTTGGGTTGGAAGGGACCTTAAAGACCACCTAATTCCAACTCCCTGCCATGGGCAGGGACACCTTCCACTATCCCAGGTTACCCCAAGCCCCGTCCAACCTGGCCTTGAGCACTTCCAGGGATAGGGCAGCCACAGCTTCTCTGAGCAACCTGTGCCAGGGCCTCACCATCCTCACGGAGAAGAATTTTTCCTAAACTTAAACCCACTCACTTTCAGTTTAAAGCCATTCTCCCTTGTTCTGTCACTCCATGCCCAATATCAGAAGTCCCTCTCCTGACACTTAAAGCAAGAGCCTCTGGTGTGCAGTTTTTGCAGGCTGATGGAGTATCATGGTACCTAAGTCTGGGAAAGGAATAGATCAAACTCCCTGGTGCTCACCAACTTCCCAGAAAGGAACCTGGCAGAGACAGGTGGTGGGGCCCTCAGGTCCTGAGTGGCACACAAGGTCTGCAAAGCCCAAGAGCTACCATCAGTGCCAGAGCCCAGTGTCCACCCCACACCAGAGGCTTCCCAGAAAACCGTCATGAAGTGGGATGAGATGACAAACCCAAGCATCCAGGAGCTGGGAAATGCAAAGTTTGGACCCTGCTAACCTGGGGAAACCATCCTGTTAACCACATTGGGATGTCAGCAGCCGGCACGGCCACCCATGTATTCCCAGAGTGTTAGAAATATTAGGCTTTGTGTTTGAGTTACTGCTGGATGGAGCAACTGAGGGTGGCCAAAGGGGCACATCCCCCACAGTGTGAGTGGGAAGGGCTCTGGCTTCATCTCCCTGCCACCAAAGAGAGCTGTAGGATCCAGGCAGTTAATTAGCGAGCAGCCGTTCTAGGGACTCACTCCGCCAGCCGACAATTAACAAGGCCATCCCTCTGCTTCCTGCCCAGCCATGATTTATTCATCTGGCATCCCTGGCGGGTTGCAAAAGATAACAAGGCACCAAGCGCTTGCCGAGCCCATATGTCAATTTATTTTCCCTGTGCAGGGCTGCCTGAGCCACCAGCCAGGAGGTTCCCTGGACACACAGGGATATGAGCACGGAGCTGAAAGGGCCAGGGAGATCCTGCCTCAGTGATGGGCTGCTCTCCAAAAAAAAAAAGCAGGAGCAGCCTCAGTGTTATCACAAGCTGTTTTATCGTGGAAGACATCCCAAAGAAACCTTACCAGCTTCACACTGACCTGGATCTCACCAAAGCAACGTGCCACATCTAATTAATACAGGGGCTCCCAACTCCTTTGGGTGTTTTATTAAACAGTATTCCCCAAATTAAGTGCCTAAGGCAGGGAGCTGCTCCAGACCAGTGATACTGGTGCAGGATGTGCTGCAACAGCTTATCCCAACCAATTCTGCTGAGCAGACACAGGGAAGGGAAAGCTTGTAATTTAAATGCAGGACTGAAGCACGTGGCTGCAGACTTGGTCACACAGTGAGTGCCAGATTGGGGAGACTAATCCGTGACCTGGAGCCAGGGTTTTCTCACAGCACAACGGCAAACTATAGGAATAAGTTAATTAAAAGAAAACAGTAAATAAAACCAGTGGGTTCTAGCTCTGCCAAGCACTTCTGTTTTCTCAAATTTGTTAATGTCTCCTACTTGCTCTGACTCAGACTTGAACACTTCTTGAAGCTAAATACAATCCATAGAATCATTCGGGTTGGAAAAGACATTTAAGATCATCAAGGCAACCATTAACCAAGCACTGCCAAGTCCCACTAAACCATGGCACCAAGTGACACATCTAAGACAATCCCCTCACAGCAGGGCTCAAGCCACAGCAAAAGCAGAAGGCAATGACCCCAAACACACACAAAACTCACTCTGCATCCAAGGAAAACCATCTTGAGATCTTCCAAGTTTTCTCTTTGTCCCACAAACCACCTCACAACGTAGAGAACCCCTACCCAAAGTGCACTGTTTCCATGGAATGCTGCCTTCCAGTTTGGAGCTGAGCAGCCCAGCTCAGGAGGAACAGGAGATGAGGTGGCAGCTGCACCCCAGGGATGATGCCACTGACATGACACTCCCCAGACTCTCCCGCCAGCCCCAAACCAGACAAGGGAACGCTCCCGCTCCTCCCGGCTGCCCACCTGGGCTGGGGGGCTCTCTGGTACTTACTCCCACTCCTTCCTCCGTGCCTGTGGCGTGCTCTGCATCTTGTGTGCCTCGTGTGCCTTGATAATGTCCCTCTGCTCGATCAGCCCGCCCCGCCGGCGCTTGATGACGTCCGGGCTCACGGGCACGTCCTGGCCCAGCCCCAGGTCGAAGGCGCTGCCGGTGTCCGCGTCAGCATCCTGGGAGCGGGGCTCGTAGAGGGCATCAAAGCTGGCAGCCCTCGAGACCAGGGCCTCGGCCAGGCCCTCGGGCTCCAGCAGGTTGCAGGAGTGGGTGGTTTGCATCAAGCCGAGCCGGTGCTTGCGCCACGTCTCCTCCTCGGGCAGGGCCAGGATGTAGTGGGGGGAGGCGCCATCCAGCTCACCCCCCTTGCCTGGCACGCCCATGGAGCACGTGCCAAATCCCAGCATCTTGGGTGCTGTTGTGGCTCATCACTCTGGAGGGGAACAAGACAAAGAGGGGAGGCTAAAGGGTTTGCTCTGTTTGCACCACAGTCCCCTCCCTTCCCCCACCATGTCAACCAAAAGTCCTGTTTCCCCTGGGCTTGTTGGGTTAGACAAGTCTCCAGCCAGGCACAGCACACACATGACTGGACCCCCAAGGTTAGGGCAAGGGGTACCACTGCCTCCCTTGGTTTTCTCCTCACCTTTCCCAAACAGGTCACCCCTGCACCTCTTGAACCTGCAGCTCTCTGACCCTGCAACCAGCCCTCCAGCAGAGCTTCCCATAGCTGGACCACAGCACAGCGATATGGAAGGAGCCTTGGGACACCCAGGTCAGATCACCCCTGCGCTCCTTCTGTTTGGTTGGGTTTTCCCTGTGGGATATCCCTGACTGGAGCATCTGCATCTCACTCCAGCCTCACGTTCACGGGATGACAGACAGGCAGAGACAGGCAGCACTTCATGAAGCTGAATGTGGAAATACCAGTGTGACTTTGAGTCAGGAGCTACACATGGGAGCAAAAGGCACAGGAACACCATCAGGAACACCTTGCCAAGCAGTTCTCCTTTGCTAAGCAAAGCAGATGAAGCCCTATAGACAGGAGATGCTTGTATCTGAGAGTACTGTCATGGTGAAACACGCTATTCTCACACTGAAACTGCTCCAGGAAGGGCTTTGCTCCATTAGTCCCTGAAATTCCTCTTCAGTGTTTTCCCATGATGGAGGTGAAAGAAGGGACAAGGGAGCTGGGGCTGTTGTCTCCTTCTTAACTACATCCCTGATACAGGAGAAAATAAACCCATCAAGGGAAAGGAGGATTTAAAATCCCCCAATAATGCAGCAAACTGAGCACATCATCATTTTAACCCCTCCTCCAGAACAAACAGGGAGGTGAAAACAGAGGTTGGGTAAAGGCTGGGAAACACCACATCAGGAGAAAAAATAAACTAAATATAGGGAAAAAAAAAATCAACAGTAACTGAGGGGACAACACAGAGCATGGCCCTTCCATCCTAGTCAAAATAAGCCTGATATCCCCATGCTGCAAGGGAAGGGATGGTCAGCCCGGGGGGTATCCTGTCTCCTTCGGGTCTGTGGTGATGCACCGTAAATAGAAGGTATCTAAAATCACCTCCAAATTTAAACCTGCCTAGCCCAAGGGATGCTCAGCCCTTGGCAAGCTCTCCAGAAAGAAAAAGGCAACTGCCAGCAAGAGCCTCAGCAAATTAATTAGCACATTGATAAGATGAGTTGGCTGCTCCCACTGAAAGCTATAAACAGATCCTTCACTCCACTACTTTGCTTACCCATGCGACTTTTTTTAGGAGCATTAATTACTTGTTCAAGTCAGTTCTGGACACCTTTATAAGATCTCATTTTCCCCGACTTCTGCTTTTCCTTTTCATCTCATTCTGCTTGTTTTTAATCCTCCCCTGCTAAAGTTTAACTCGTCATTCAGCTACTCCAGGTTTACTTCGGGATTTTTTCTTTTGTGTTTCTGTTTTGGATGGGTTTGTTTGTTTGTTTCTGTAGCTGGTGAGATTTTTGTTTTGGTTTTTTGTTTGTTTAGCGTTGTTTTGGTTTTACTTTTTTTTTTTTTTCAAAGAACCATTCCGCAGCCCTGTTCCTTTTCCTAAATATTTCCTTGGCAAAGTCAGAAGACATTCGGGCACACCAAGCATGACGACTCCAGGTTTCAGCCACGCTGTGGCTGCAGCAGAGCCCTGAGGACAATTAGCCAAGAGCAAATGAGGACACAACCCAAGGGTAGGTTCAGCATCCACACGGAGACTGGCTCTCCCGATGCCTACCAATCCACCTCCCACACCAGGCTTGCTGCTCCCAGGGACACTGAGGACTCCCAGGCTTGCAGACAAGCAGGAAAGCTCAAGCAGAGACCTCAAACGAAACACTGAGAAAGTTTGAGGAAATAAATAGAAATAATTAGCTTTGCCTGCGCCTCAGCAAACAGGGCTCACGCTGCCAGCAGAACAAGCCACGTTCCCTCTGGAGAAGTGACAAGGAGAGAAGGGAGGATGCCAGAACATTTTGTTAGGCGAAGCTGACGAGGCTACGCGCTAACAAGGGTGCCCACGGGGTGCCACTCGCCGGGCACTGAGCACCTGGCACTGGGGCATCTCCCGGTTTTCTGGCCTCTGGTCCCCTCCTGAGATGGAAAACAAATACACTTTATTTTCACACTGAATCTGAATTGGTGGAGAGAAAAAAAAAACCAAAAAAAACACCACATCCACTCATGTAATTTGGCTTCTGCTGTTTAAATGCCAGCCCTGCCTCTGTCAGTGGGGAACAACTCGGTGCGTGCTGGAAATGGACCATGGAAAGAACTGGGACCATGGAGACAGCCAGCAGCCCAACTTCCATGCTGGGTTTGCTTAATAACATACAGCTTGAGTGCATATCGTAGAATTGCCTGGGTTGCAAAAGATCTTGAAGATCCTCTCATTCCAAACCCCCTGCCGTGGATTCCTTCCACTAGACCAGGTTGTTCAAAGCTCCATCTAACCTGGCCTTGAACACTTCCAGGGGTGAGGCAGCCACAGTTTCTCTGGGCAACATATGCCAGTGCCTCACCATCCTCACAGGGAAGATTTCTTTCCACATATCTAATCTAAACCTACTCTTTTTTCAGTTTGAAGCCATTCCCCCCTTTGTCCTGTCACTCCATGCCTCTATAAATAGACTGTATCTGCCTTTCTCATAGGCTCCCCTTCAGGTATTGGTGCCTCTGAGCCCTTTTAGCTGCAAATCAGTCTTTTCCTGGGAATAAACCCAGGTTGCCACACAGCTCCCTGGTAACAGCTGGACAGAACACGGCTTCACAGCTCCATTAATGACAATTACTAGTTTAAAAAGCAAAGGAAAATAGCATATCCACCTGTATGACCCCCCCACCTCCCCCCATACTCCCACATGTGGTTTCCCACAGGTGACCCCAGGTGATACTTGCTGTCCATATCCCTGGTTGCATGACTGGGATGCAGTAAGAGCATGGGACAGACCTGCACAGGACTCCAGGCAGCCCCTGCCACCCCAACCTCCACAGGAGAGGGGGACATTACCACCCAACAATGGTACATTTGTCTGGTTTTGATACAGGAGAGCTGAGGAACCACTGCACTGTGACACATAGCAGGCTTTCAATACCTGAAAATGAAGTCTCTAGAGGCTCTTATCTTCCAAACTTCAGCCTCAAAGTAATAAAAGTCAGGAAATTTACTGTTTGCTCCCGCTGCGGAGAAATCATCCAGATAAAACCATGGCCACAGGGCGCTGAGAGCAGCCAAACTGAATCAGAGAGGGGATATTCAGCTGCAAACACACGGGCAACTTGTGCTTTCAGCTGCACAGTTGCTGGAGCAGCATGACACTCCCAGCTCAGCCCAGGGCACATCTGAGCACACGGACCACCCGGCTATGTGGACACAGCTGGAGCTCAACCCACCTCATGGGGATCTCATTAGAGAGATTGCACCCAGCACCCATCCAGCCCTTCCTGCACGGGACTGCCATGGCCAAACAGGGACAGAACAGTGAGTAGCTCTGGCCCCTTACTCGGTACATCAGTGTGGGTTGAAACGGGACAGAAGCATACAAAGGCAGCATCTCACCCCCCCCCCAAATCACTGAGAAAAGCCTTTTCAATCACCAGAGCACATGTGATGGAAGAAAAAGCAAACAGATCCTCTCGGCAGCATCCTCAGGAGGTGCTACACAGTGCCAAGAGACCCAGCCCCATTATCCCAACCCCAACCGTGTGCCATAGCCAAGGAATAGAGCCCCAGCAGGCAGGAGAACCTGGAATCTCACAACATATTTCATTTTTTTTTTCTCTAGCAGCTGATTAACTAATGAAGAGCTGCAGTGAGAAGTGGGTTTCCAGCGGCACCACTGACCTACAAAGAGGAAATTCCTTTTAGGGGTTTTCTCTGCCTGTGTGTTTGCATTACAATGGCAGCAATCATGTCTTTAGCCAAGTAACTATGTATTACCATAATAACTACACACAGCACTTAAGGCACTGGGTGAGCTCTTTGCTCCCCTTACCTGAATAAACTTCACCAAAACCCCTGGAGCTAAAGCAGAAAGGCTTAATGCCGTGCTGGTCCATGGGGACTGATCTTCCCCAGGCAGCACAAGAGTCCAGCATCACCATGCCGAGCTCCAGCATTGCCATGAGCCCCAGGCAAGCAGGGAGGCAGAGATCCCTCCCCCTGGAGAGGGAGTAATGGACAAAACCTGGCTATGGTATATTCAACAAGCAACAAAACTGCTGAAGTCCTCCAACCATGGTCCAGCACCCCAGCAGCCTTCCCTGGGGGTTTGGGGGATGATTTTGACAGCAGCACCAGAGCAAGAAGCTGTTAAATATATATATATAAAATTTATATAATATTGTCTCTATATAAAATGTAAACCTATATGAGAGCATCTAGGACGCTGTTTCCAAGAATCCTGGGGACACCCCAAGCCAGGCAGAGGTTTCCTGCTTCACCAGCCCACAGGACATGTCTCTTTGCCAAACTTGGCTGGTCTCTCTGGGAACTCACATGCTTTCAATATCTTGGCCTAGTTCCATCCTTCTTGGGGTACAGGGATGCTCCAAATCCATCCCCTGCTGCCCCTTCCCTCCAGCTCACTAACCTGCTTCTCCCAGGCCACAGGGGCCACTTGATTTTCAAGAAGATCAAATGCCACCCGCCTCTCTGTGCTCAGCCATGCTTGCCCTGAGCTGCTAATTATTAGTCCTTGCTCAGGGGGAGGAGCAGAGCTCATGCAGAGTGGATAAGGAGAGCACTAAAGCTCGGAGCGCTCGGAAGAATTTCAGCGTGGGGCCCTTCCAGAGACAGATGGGCTGCGAGAGCGGCTGATTCATCCTTGTGGCCTTTTCCTCTCCTGCCACGTGCACTCCCCTCACAGTGGCGTGGATGCCATGGTGG